ATTGTTGTCACTTTTTTCACATTTTAAATGAATTGTTTCTTTTATTTTTGTGTATGGTTAATAACCGAATAACCGAACCAAACCAAACCGAAACCGATAATCACCAAACCGATAAATGTATATTATATTTGGTTTGGTTTGGTTTGGTTTTGATAATTTTAAAACCGATTAAGTTGGTTTGGTTTTGGTTTTGACCAATAACCGATCCAAATCAACCCGTGAACACCCCTAAGGGTGGGAATGGGCGAAAAGAAAATGAAAAAGGAGAAATCTGAAGAAGATGACTGTGTTGTGGTGAGAAATTTTTGATGAAGAAGATGATTGGGGTGGGTGGGGGAAGAGGGGTGGGAGGGGAAATCTTCAAAATAATTTGTTTTTAATTGGTCAAAACCCTTTCTATTTGACCTTTAATTTTTTTGTGTGTTTAATGACATGGCTGTAAAATGAGATGGCATGACATAATTGGTCATTTATTTCATGTGGATATGTTTGGTTAACACTCACGTAGGGTCAACAGAAAATTGTGAAAAAAGTGTCAAAATGACACAACGGGGCATGACATAAAGTGTCTAAAATGAAAAAAAGTCTAGTTAAGGTGTTTAAGTGAAAATTGTTGTTAGCTTTAGGGGGCCACCAATGGGTTAAGCCTAAAATATAGAGTTGCCAAAATCAAATTCAATCCATTTGAATTATTAGCTCAACTTATATTAATTTATTTAAAATTATTATATAAAGTTGAACAAGTATATATATATATAGAGATGAAAAAATCAAACTCAATCCACTCAACTCATTTAGGTTGACTTGTCTATTTATTAGTTCAACTCATTTCAACCCATTAAAAATTGGATTAATATATTGACTCTTCTTTTCTTTAAATGAAGTAGACCATATAGGCCTTTATTGAATAATAAAAATCTTCCGACATTACCTGATCCAACCGAGGCCCAATATAACAATACAAAAAGGAAACAAAAGAAGTCCAAGACCTGAAATGTCCGGACATCAAAGTAAAAGGGGGAAGGGAAAAAAGTCTCATCTCCTTCCTCAGAGTACAAACGAAGCAACCATGGATCGATTGAGAGAAACGTCGATGAGCTGGAGAGACATCAAAGTCTTCAAATTCAGTATCCAACTCCACTCCATAACCTAGAAGTTGTCGAGCTTAAGGTGTTTTCACCTAAGACATTCCAAATCTCACGAATGCCATAAAAACAATCTTAATGAAGACTTCTTCCACTCAACAACAGCAGATCTGGTGAGTTCCATAGATGATTATGAAGTTTTTGTTGTCCATTAATCAAAGAACTGGTGGTTAATCTCCATCTTCTTTCTCTTATGAGTATCGATTCCAGTACCAAAGCTTCAGCTGCAAGCATGCCACTCCAATACTTGCTTATGCCGAGATTTCCAACAGGATAAGTATTTGTTCCTCTCGATCCATTTCGCCCTTGTTGATTTCCTTTTGATTGTTTTCATGCCCTCATCCATCCATTTTTCCAGAACAATGTTTCGCCATCCTCCTCGACTCTCAACAGATTAAGCTTAAATAGCTGATACCACTGCTTGAAATTCAAAAAAAATAGGTAGTCTATTATTCTCACTTATTATCACTAATGCATCTACTTGAATGTTCAAATGCCAACTATATGAATGCTCTATTATAATGTATATTTTCATGTTATCTTCTCTGCGTATGATCATGGTTAGCAAAGTCTCAATTTTGATATCTTTTTATCCTAAGGCTAGGAAGTTTTTTCTTTATCTGTATTGATGATGCCTCGTGCCACACTTGGTATGTTCTAAAAATTTGAGTATGTTAGTCTTTGAGTACATGCAAAATAGAATAACCCAAATTGACTCATTAGAAATCCTATCAAAATATTTTTAATAAACTTGGTTTTTAATTTGATATGTTATATATAGTCATAATAAAGAAAGAATAAATTTATTAGGTATTAAAATATTTTGGAAGAATAAATAAAATAATTAAACATAGTAAAAATTGATAAGATTTGCATATACTATACCCTATCTAGACCTCACTTAGTTGGATTTCACCGGGTATATTGTTTGTTGTTGTTAGTAAAGATTGGGTTGGGTTGAGTTACATTAAATCTTATCTGGATCTATCCCCCATTGCTTGACCCGTTTTAACCCAATCTATTTTGATCCAAGCAAAATTGGGTTGGATTGGGTCTTAACCCATTTGTTGTCCTAGTCCATTATGACCCGTTCAAATTTGACTCAACCCGTCCAATTGTCACCCCTAGACACATGCATCCTAATGACATATATATATATATATATATATATGTGTGTGTGTGTGTGTGTGTTCTACATGGCATAATACAAATCAATTCAGTTGTATTTCAAGTAAATTGTCATGTAGGAAAAATGTATGTGTCTATTTATTTAATTTTATATAAGTTAAATGTCTACTTGTGCACACCCAAAATTAAAAGACCTAAATATCAATGAAAACAAGTTGAAAAGCATATTATATACTAGTGTAGAGTATGTGTGTTGCACACTTGTGTCACATCAATAATAATAGGATGGACAAATTGCTCAAAAAGAGCCAAGACTTGAAACATGATTAGGCAAAAATAGCTATAGTTTGCTAATTACGATTTGTAACTACGTGTTAGAGGAGGAGAGAGGCGAGGGAGATTGGGAGAGTGAGATTGGAGAGGGAGGAGAGAGGTGAGCGGGAGAGGGTAGAGAGTAGAGAGAGGCGAATTGTATTTGTATATCTATCAGATAATTATATATATATAATTGGTATATGCATATATGTATTAATGATTGTATTTGTATATTTGCATAATTGTATATATATAATTAGTATGTATATGTATCAATGAATACCATAATATTAGCGAATACAAATTGTATCAATGAATAAATTGTATACAGTCAAATCAATTTGTATTTGTATATGTATAATTTATTTGTCATCATTTGTATCAATGTTTTTATCAACGAATAAATGTGTATTTGTATTTGTATCACTAAAGACATTTGTATAGTTGACACTTACAATTTGTATTTGTATAATCGATTGTTATCATTTGTGTTTTGTATAAACAAATTGATTCTTATCATTTGTGTTTGTATAAACGACTGTTAACATTTGTATTTGTATAATTTCTGGCAGAAATAAGCGAGAGAGACTACGCAGGGAGAGGAGAGACGCAAGGGAGAAATGATTGAAAAAGAGGAGAGAGGAAAGCGAGATTTCAAAGAGAGGCGAGAGAGAGGACGAGAGGAGATATGTAAGACCATCTCCAACCCATCTCTATTTTACCCTCCATTCTCTATATTTGAAGTGTAAAAATAGAGAATATCCTCTCCAACTCATCTTTATATTACTCTCTATTCCTATTTATAGATATGTGAATAATAGTTCTCCAAATTTGGAGAACTACTATTCATACTCTCTATTTTACTTTTTTTTTTTTATTATTATTATTTCTATTATTTTTCAATGAACATATTATTTTACATATCTAGCGTGTAATTGGATTTGGTGTAATTGGGTGTAAATACCAATTATTTTACCCTCCATTCAATGAACATATTATTTTTTTATTATTATTATTTCTATTATTTTTCAATGAACATATTAATTGGATTTGGTGTAATTGGGTGTAAATACAATGTCTAGCGTGTTTGGTTGGCCATGTAATTACTTGGTCAACAGGTAATTGTGTAATTAGCAGAGGGTGATTACACTATCTAATTCTCAAGGAGGGGTTATGAATTACTGGTAATTACATGGTGTAATTACAAGTTGTGTACTTTTTAATTTCTTCTTTTTTATTTCTATTTTTAATTTTTCGTTTTAATTTATTTTTTATATCTATTATTTTAAATTCTTTTTTATTATTATTATTTTAAAAAATTTAAAAGTTTATTTTTTATTTTTTATTTTTTATATTTCATCTCCTTCTCATTCTCAACATTCACTTCATCTGATTGTGTGTAATTTTTTGTATTATATATTTTTATGCCATGTTTATTTTTTTTGGGTGGACATTTTAATATTATTAAAAATATACTATATGTCACATTATGTATCATGTTATGTCTATTGGTGGACATTATATTTGTGTCTCTTTACTCTCATCAATTGTGGAAGAATGTAGTCATTAGTTATAGTAACTTTTGTAACCACCAACTCTTCATTTCACCCATTATTGTAACTTATGTAACCTATTGGTCATTTACTTATCCAATTTACTACCCATTATCTTCCTATTATTTGCAAGGAAGAATTCATCACCTATAAATAGTGTGGTCTTACTTTGGGTTGACTATATCAAGAGATAGATGTGAAAGAGTGCAAGAAAGATGATAAGTATAGAGAAACATTATAGTGTATAATAGTGAAAGAGAGAGTTGAGAAAAAGAAAATATTTGAAGTCTACAACTGTATTCATTATACAAAAGAGAGTATTTATATGTTGAAAAAAGTGCTCTTTTTGTGGAGCCTTGGACTCTTTAACTAATCCGGAGTTGCTTGAGTTGTACGACGTTGTTGGTTGTTGTATCCCAGAGGGGGAAAGTCAAGAGTGATACTGTTGGATCAGTGTAGATTATGTCGAAGTGGGCTTGAATCTCCTTAATGAGAGCAAAATAGCTGTGCCTCAACCTGAATACTTTTTTATTCATTTTTTGTTCATTTTAGTTTCAACTGTAATTTATTTTATTTGCGGTATATTACACCAATATTTTTTTATTAGCATAATTCTGTTGATATACTAATTTTTAAATTAAAGGAGAATTCATTGTTGAGTAAGGTTATAAACTTACATTTTTCTTCTCTTTTAAATCATCTTTATGTATGTTTTGTTGAAATTTGACATAAGAGTATTATGTTAATTTTTTGTTTTGAATTTAAAACTTATCTTATATTTTCAATTTCATTTGTTTTAGTAGTATTGACTTGAGACTTCACATTGCAAGTCATTTATTTTTTAGTTAGACGTGATAGATTATCTTTTTTATCAAGCATTTTAATAATTTATGACATTTTATTTATAATATTAATCTTTTTGTCAAGCATGCATTTCATGATTGTAATGATCCTCTTAGCCGTTTTATGAATTTTACTTGATTTGTCCATTTTAACACTCCATGTAATTTTTATATGTGATTTATGACTTACATGGATGAATAGTATGGATCCTTAGGTGTTCAAGAGCGAATTAAGTCATTGATTGAGTTCTTGAGTTTTAATAAGCTAAGTTTGATCATGGTCAACTTTTGATAAATGCTATTTTGATGTTCCCAACAGGCCGGAACTGTCACAACCCTAAAATGGATGTGATGACACTCGTCTTATCCCACCAAGACAAGTCAACATAAAACCCAAATAATACGATGAATGCAGAAATTCACAATTAACTTAAATATACCCCCAAAACCTAATATCTGTCCATGCATCCGTCGCGGCGTGCGACACGACCCTCAATAATAAAATCCATCTCTGCGTGCGACACATCCCTCGGTAATAGAATCTATCGTGGCATGTGATACTTCCCTCGAAATATAGTATCCAACGCAGTGCGCGACACGTCCCCCGAAATGGTACATCTTCTTTAATTTCTTATCCTTCCTCAATTCACATGACACTTGTCACAACAATGTCTCAAAACCAATGCAAATGATATGTTCATAAATAATAAGGAGATGGCCATTTTTATATCAATGAGAAATTCACAACAACACAATCGTGATATAACATCAACAATAAATCAATTAAACTTTCATATCATTCCTAACACATCACATCAATATACAATCAAGTTGTCTTTTTACTACCCCGACCTTTTTCCTTATTAGAGTCATTCAATATGAACAAGTCAATCCATCACCAAGTCCCATTACTTCCAACACATACCACAAGGAAATACACAATTATATACACTTAACAAGGGTTGGGAAATCCACCTGCCTCAAATAATCGAGTAATTACTTCAGGACTTGAGTCTTCTCCTTTCATAAAGCTTCAAATCTATCAAATTTATAAGCCTCATAAGAATATGAATCTAATGGCACCCATATTACTATATTTAGTTTCGGCTCGAAATTTGGGTTAAAAAGTCATCCCGAGCCACAAAATTTGAATATGAATTTTCTTTCAGACTATGTTTACCCATGATAAAACAAACTCGCATACAAAATTTCATCTAAAACGGATCATTATTTGACCCCTAAATCAAGATTTTGTTTAAAGAATCTTAGACCTACATTTTTTTAAATCAGTATAAATTATACACGTTTCTACACTAAAAATTTATTCATAATCACATAAAAATTTAATGAAAAGGACGAGAATCATTACCTTAACGCTTTAGAATGAAAATCCCAATTTTCTCCTCCTTTTTCCTTTTTGTTCTCCCTTCTTTCCTTTTATTGCACTGCGTATTTTTCCTTGTTACTGTGTGTACTGCTGCTGCCCAGCCAACGTCTTGCCCTTTTCTTTCTCTTTTAATTTTGGGCACTTGCCCCACTTTTTTTCTTTTATTATTTATTTATTTATTTGTCAAATGCTTATTTTATTATTATTTGTTTTTGTCTTTTGGGCTTGACCTATTTTACTCCTTTTTTTATTTCTTTTATTATTAGCAACAAAATAATCTATTATTAAATTTGAAAATTATATCACTCATTCTCACAAGTAATAAATTATTGGTTGAATGACCTGAAAGACCCTTATACTTGACTCCGTTTGTCATCGGAACCCTTCTACTCACAATTTTGCCAATTGAATACTTAAAGTTATTAAAACACAGTATTTTAAACCCCTCTGATCATGTGTCTCCCAATCGCGCTGATGTGGATAACACCTCACTATCCACATCAGAAATATATTGCCACATCATTTTTTTATTACAAATAATATTTTTAAAAAGAAATCTCAAACTAATCTCCAAAATCCTTTCTTTCCATTTTTTCTTCTCTTCCTATATTTTCCATCTATTTTGCTACTAATCATTCATTTTTTTCTTTCCTAGTGAATTTTTACGTTGAAGAGGAATTAGAGATAAGCTAAAGCCTTGTTATGTTTTTTATTATAAATTTTGTTATTTTAATGGTGATGATAAATAAAGTGACTCAAATGGAGGAAGAGAGAAAGAAGAGAATAAGACCAAAAATGGGTCATTATAGAAAACTCTTCAAAAAATGCTCTCAATAAAATTGTCTTACATTTAGAAAGAATCTCAAACATGTCTTTCTAAAAACCCATCTAAAATCCGCATCTATTTCACAATTTAGAACATCTTTTTCCCTCCTCTCTTTTACCCAAATCTAAATAAATATCTTTTTCTCAATCATTATAGAAAACTCAAATGATAGGTAGCATATGAGAAGAGAAAGAGGAAGAATTGTGGGTACGAGTATTGGAAGAGATTGAAGAAGATGTGTGTGTGGTGATGGTGGGGTTGGGTGAAATTATGAGGAGGAAGAAGAAGAAACGTACAACATATTGGGAAAGTTTTTTTTTTTAATTGTTATATTTTTCTTTTATTTCTTTTTTAATTTTTTTAAAAATAGTTGTCTTCACTTGCTTTTAAATGCCTGTAACCACTCTCTTGATCTGATTCAGCAAAAAAACACCACATAAGCTTAGTCAACGGTCAAATGGGTTTAAAATAGTGTGCTTTAATAACTTTAAGTGTTCAGTTGGCAAAGTCGTGAGTAGAATGGTCTAGGTGACAAACGGAGCCAAGTATAAGAGTCTTCCAGGTCATTCTGCCTAAATTATTTATAAAAGTTACTAAAAGGTTTAAACTCAGAATAATGAACAAAATTTATAAAACGACTAAGAGGGTCGTTACATTATCCACCACTAAAACACACGTTCATCCTCGAATGTAAAGAGAAAGAAAGTACATGTATTATCAAATAGTTGAGAATATTTGCTTTGTATGTTTGGCTTAACCTTCCAAGTGGATTTCTAACCTGCCTATCCATAATAACTCTTGGACCTTCCTCAAATACCAATTTCTTGGTCGAATTATATTGAGTCACACTGAATCGCATGACAACCATTAACACAATACTTCTTCAACATCAAAGCATGGAAAATCAGATGAACACCTCATAAGTCTAGCGGCATATCCAATTCATAAGTCATTTCTCCAAAATGTAGAAGTACCTCACACGGATTAATGAATTTAAGGTTAAGTTTTCTCTTCTTCCCAACTCTCATAAAAACTCTCA